ATTTTACTAGTTACCGGAGGGAGCTGTGATGGAGGTTGTGGTGGGAGTGGGTCAATATGTCGTTGTGACTGCAGGTGGGTTTGAAGCCGGCGTAGCAAAGGTACACCATTACGACTTTGCCTCTTCAGGGTCCAGTAGCTGTGAAGTCGTTGCATGAACTGGCTCTTCCTGGGTACCGTTAAATTACTGGTGATTTTACTCAGCCTGGGGGGAAACAAACACCACGTTCAAACTCTGTTACTCACATGTCATAATGTAAAACTTTCTTTATTATTATAAGAGAAAGTCTCCCCTGTTCGAGGAGAAGGGTGATTTACAGAACAGCAGATCTACTGGAGATTGCAGTGAAAAAAACAAAACAGAAAAGGGACCCAAATCATCCAAAATTAACAGGAATATGTGCAGCTTGGAGCTGTGAAGCACATACAGAACAGGTAAAAGGTTGAGTGGTAGTACCTGTGGGGAGGTATGCAGGGCACAGACACCACTGGTGCAGCAGCTCTCCTCTCAGCTAAGATCTTCCTCGCTCTTTTCATCTTCAGCCTGGACTTGGCCTTCGCCCTCTTGGCGCGCTCAGAGCTCCAGCCCTTGGAGTCCTCATCAGGGCCGATGCTGGGCTCGTCATCCTCCTCCAGCTCTCCTTCACTGTGAGATGAGCCCATGCTGGCCCCGCCTACCCCCGCCAAAGGTCGGGCTGATCCTGGGGGCGTGTGGATGTCACAGTAGGCCGTCTTGCGGACGCTGAAAGAGGTGCCATTGGCCCCAGTCTCTCTGACAGGCTCCATTTTCATATAGAGGCCCGCCTGCTGGGCACAGGTGACGTGGAAGGCTGTGTAACAGTTGGCTTTGTGACACTGTATGCAGGCGCCTGAACCACGCTGCTTGCAGATGTAGCAGGTGAGCTTCCAGCGTGCAGGAGGAATGTGCTCAATACTATCGATTGGCTCCAGAAAGACTGTGTTAGCGAAGCAGACCTGAGGAAAGGCAGCAAAAACTCACTTAACTGCAATACTCTAAACAAAGAGTAATAATGAGATAACAGACTGACTGAACCATGGAAACCTGCAGAAAAGTAAAGCAACTTTGATTCTGAAGGAAACAGACTAATACTGAAAGCTGTGTGCAACACAAATAAACATGGCACAGTGCAGAGCACCTCAATAGCTGCAATATCTGTTCTGATCGAGAATGCATGTAACGGTGTGTGGATTTACCTCTGGGATCCAAAGGGCACACACTACATGTGCCCAGCGTGCATCGTCTGTCTGTTTGAAAGCTCCTCCCTTGTTGGGACAGAGAGCACAGTCCACAGCTCTACTTGGCGACTGCAGACAGCGACGACATAACCACTGGCCCTCTGGGATGTAGGGAACACCGTAGCACTCTTGGTGTACCGCCAGGTTACACATGTCACAGAACAGGATCACATTGCTGTTCTGACACTCTCCATCGTTGCAGATGCAGCACACAGCATCTTCATCGATTAGGGTACTGGGGTCTGCCTGGGAGAAAGGAAGATAAGGACATCAGAGTTGGATGCATTTGATAAACATTTCAGTGTTAAAATATTATTTCCCCCTCATTCTCCATGTCCAGGTACCTTGTTGTGGCTCTCGAAGTAGGACTCCTTCTCTAGGCGGTCCATGAGATACTCAAAGACCTCCTGAGGGATGGGTGTCACACCGTCACGCCGCCGCTTGTCGTTCATGATGTCAAGCCAGATGTAGTCCTCCTCATCAATGTCATACTCTACCTCCTCATCCAACTCCTCCACAGACTTATCAATGTACCTGAGCACCAGAGTTGGAAAAAAGTCAAAAATGTGTTCATCTTATAACATAATAGTATGTGGACAGAAAAGAACGGTAATTAATTGGGGACATAGGATTAGCACCAACTTCAACATTCTTAAAAAAAAGAGGAAATAATGACAGAATATGAGGAATCAGAGTCAAATTAATGACTTGACACATGCACAACAATGAGCTGTGTAACTGCAAACAAACTAGTGACTGACTGTAAATGTGTGCTTCGAATATTTACAACTCACTAAATCTATTTTCTGTATAAACAAGATGCTTCTTCTATACATGCACAACATTACTGCCATGTACTTAGCAATAATCCTGCTTTTAATTCTCACACCCCCTATGTAATTGTTAATGAATCAGATCATAATTCTCAGTGCTGACCTGTAGTAAGATGATGGCCGAGGAGGAGCATCAGGTCTCTCTTGGTCCAGTTCTCTGAAAACCGCCTCTGGGAGCTTCACTGCAGGACCAGACTGAGCGCTGTGATGATGAGATGAGCCATCCTTCTTCTTTTCTTTACTCTTATGCTTCCCAGACTTTGGAGTGGATTTGCCCCCATTGGAAGATGGGATATCTGGGCGGTCCTTGCCACTGCCTCCTACCTCGCTACCTCCACCTCCACCATCACTACCGTTACACACTCCTCCACCACTACCACCAGTACCAGATGGTGGAGCATCCTCCGCATCGCTGTCTTCCTCTGACACCACGTCAATGTTCTCAAAGATGCTAATGCGGTGGATCCGTCCTTGGATATCCAGCTCCACCATGCGCTGTGCCTGGGCATAGGTCATAGTCTCTCTGCCAGGGGAGTGAGAGCGCTCCGACCGGTTGGGGCTACCAGGCGTGTTCCCCCCATGCCCCGGTCCTCCACCTCCATTACCTCCACCATCGTCCGTATCCCCTGACCCGGCCAACGAGGCGCGTGGAGGCCGTCCCTTTCTCTTCTTCTGGGGGACAGTCTGTGCAGGAGCTGGGTTGTCATGGTCATAGTGGTAAAGGTGATACTCAATGCCACTGTAGCTCTTGTAGACCTTACGGCAAGTCTCCACGGGGCACTCGTAAGGGGGCTTGGTGGCCCGCAGATTGTGACAGAATGTCTTTACATCAAAGTCCAGCCCCATTGTGCCAACAGCCACTGCTGGGACAGATGCTGTTCAAGTTTACATCTGACAGAGGGGAACACAAAAGGAGGACCATGGGAGGATCAATTCCAGAGATTGAATTCTGATTACAATAACGTTTCATTAATTAGATACCACCTACTGTCACTGGGACTTTAGTAGTTGGACAGCAGTCTAGACAAGTCGTGCCTGCACATTGTGCACCTGTTATGGTAGTCACGTGACCATGCCCCTCATTCCCAGTAGCAAACATGTTATTATGTTCGGGTACCCAATAGCAGGTGCAGTTCAGGTCAATATGTTTGCTTGTGTCCCTGTCTAACTAACGTACGGGTAAATTCAGTTAACGTGCAGTGACACAAACGGCACAACAGTGAGTCTAGTTGACAGTTTCAAGCTTGTTTACAGCCAATGAGTTACAACAAAATCTGGCTAATGCAAACAAAGCGCAGGACACGATTCAGTGTGAATATCCCAAAGCCAAACATACGACTTATAATGCATTTAAATCCAGCTAACGTTAGCCTTAGCATTTTGCTGATGCTTCCTCCTCAAACAATGAAACATTGCAGCCTGACGCTGCTAGCCAGCATGCTAACAGCAGCTAGCAAACAACAACACCAAACCATTGTGCAAACAGCAGAGCTACAGAGGATGCAGCACACCGGTACCAGTCACGAGTTAACGTTACAAACTAGCTCTCGTTAGCTTCTGTTCATTATATTTTATGTCTGAATCGGACGCACACAGTGATTTCACTGAGCCCAGCAACGTGAAGTAGGTTGGTTTAATTCGCGTTAAGACGTTAGCTACACAAAGAGAGGTGTCACTTTGACCTCAGAGCATTTTTTTAAAAGCACAATTAATAACAAATAACAAACAAAGAGTGTTTAAAGTTACATACAACAGCAGCCTGACTGTAACTCAGATGACCATTCAGTCCTCTTTAGGTAGGTGAGTGTTTCCCTCCACAATGACCTCACCCTGTGAGTCTCAGATACTGAGCAGCAAAATGACAGTATAACGTGTGATTTCATGAGATTAGCAGACTACTACAGCATGTGGGAGAGCAGGACAAAGTAGTTCATTAAACAGCTAGGGTCGATCAACCAATTAGTTCTTCCCTGTGGTGAAATAACTTAAAAAATGTTGAGCGATACGAGGAAAATAGCAAGGCATGCTTAATGCATCAAGGGGGCTTTTACTACTTCGTGTTTCCAGGGCACAGTGGGTTAAGATGGAGTACTAAAATGACCGCAGATTAACATTAGATTTAACTGTCAAAGATGTGACCCAGTTTTCCCACATAAATAACCGAGTCTTCAGCCCGTTTTAACGCCACAGAATCTGTACCAACGTTATAAACACTTACTACTCCACGTTCCTCAAGACTGCGTGCTTCGGAAACCTCACACCAGATCGGAAGGGTTGTAGATCGATTTTAATTCATTGGATAGTCCCAGGTGAGATCGCGGGAAGCGTAAAAAATTACCAAGTGAGATGTTTTTATGAAACAGTATAATATCCCGATCATTTCATTGTGTTGGGAATAATTCAGGAACTCGGTTGAACAAAAGGGGCAACCGTTGCTGTAACGTTACGCCGCAGACGCGGGTTGACACATTCGCCACACGGAGCAGGGTCTATATTTCTCGGCTTTGGTTTTAAAAATAGGGCCCTGTATGCACACTTGAGCCGAGATTTGGTGATAGGATAAGATATTATGTTCCAAACGACTATTTAATAATTTGTTTTAATCGATTTCTACCCAATCGATTATTCCCCCCATAGGTTATTTTGTGTTGAATGTTGCGAATCTGCGGCTTTGTTTCAAAGATGTCGGCAGGACTGAGCGTGAAAACATCCAAGTCTGGTCCGAGTGCACGTCACACTTTCAAATAAGTCCATCAATATATAGCAACAAAAAATTAAAACCACTCCTGATGTATCATTTATTGATGGAATTTGTGTTTATCTACATAAGCTTATAAATAATCAGAAGTATACTTTTTTTTTTTTATTGTGATATAGCCCTCTAGAAATAAAAACAACAATGAAACATACCTTCAAGCACAAAATAATATTTATTATCTCTCTCAACATACAGTCTGTGATTCTTTTGAGTGCAGCAGGGTAGGGTGGGGTAATGCAGTGGGACATACAGCAGGCAGAAGCAATCCCACAGTTTAAATACAAGCCTTTGACAATCAGCATATTCACCAGGGGGCAATGTTGTCCGGAGAGAAGTGAGATGAGCAGAGAAGGGAAGCGTTAAGAGGACTGCACCTTCCTCTCTGCATTTCATCTTCTCCCGTCGATCACTGCATCCAAAATGAATATGGCGACAATAGTTACTCCCTCCTCTGCTCCCCATGAGTTAGCAGCGAGGGAGGTGGAACAAAACATACCAGGTACAAGTGACAGAGAACAGAAATCTCTTACTACTGGAAGTATTTCACCAAAGCAGAAGACTCTGCATAATATCCTATAAAAGTCCAATTCAAACCGAATTGATGGAATAATATACATCAAAGCAACCCCTCCACCACCGCCAACCAACACCCCTAAACAGTCAAACAAACAAAATGTACAAATATAAACTACAAGAAAACTGTACAATTCACAGCTTGGCAGGATTGGGGTGCTGAAACCTCTCAAATGTGTTGTGGAAATGTGAAATTTCTAACCATAGTAGCTGTATTGTTTATCTTTGCTTTGTGGAACATGAAAAGTTGGCCATGCTTGTCAGTGATAAAAAAGTACAGGCGGTGAAACCCACTATATACAATGTAGGAAACTCTTAAACACAGGTTAGAATTAAGGGAGACTATATGTTGTGCAAATCTCCCGCATCAAGTATCATTTGAAATTTTGCAATATATATATATATATATATATATATATATATATATATATAACTGGAAAGAAAATGAAAACAACAAAAAAAAGGCTGTCATCTAAAGCAACCTGGGAAATAAAAATTCACAACATTTCAACAAGGCAATAACACTGCTTTGTGAGCGTCTCATTTGTTATTTTAATTTGAAGAGGTTGTTCTTCTACGTACCATCTTATGTGTATAGAATTAACTGTACAGTGGAATCACCTCAGACAATAGCAGCATAAAAAAAAAAAAATCAAGCTTTAAACATCAAATAATTAAAAAAGAAAAGAAAAACATCAGACTTAAACTTGTGATTGCACAAAACATTTTTACATACAGTGTATGCTGAGTAATAGGATAGCCAAGTTGAAAGAACATTGAGCAGTAGTGACTTCAGAGTTTGATTGGTGATTTATGTTTATACTTTGCCTGGTAACTTCTATCTGTTGCTTGGTGATTTGTTTTGTAACTTTGTTCAACTTTTCAGCTTGCTCCTGTTGCACACATCAGAGATAAGGCTTGTGGCAAGGCCACGATCAAAGCTTTGTGGAGGGGTTAAATTGCACTTTTAAAGCCTCAAGCCTTCACATATTAATTGCTACATTCTGATCAGAACACTACCAGAGGCATATACTGTAGAAAGAACTATGTACAGTATATATGGCTCTGGACACTGCCTTTCTTTTGAGCACAAGGCTACAACACTGCCAACTCTTGTGCTGTCCAACGCATCAGTTGTCCTATCAAAAAGAGGCTGTGTCCGACTGAACCATTTGACCTGAAAGAGTGGATTTTGGCTGCTGGCGTAATTTTTTTTTTTTTTTTTTTCTCTCATCAGTCGTACATTAACCATTTGTTTCTGCAAGGCAACGGTACATCTCACCACTATGGCATTCCATCTGTCACAGGGGTGGAAAGTAAACAAGGGTTAAAACATGATTTTATTATTTAAATAAGAGCATATACTGTGTTAATAGTGCAGTACTACAAGGGCATTCATATGTAAACCAAAAACAAAAGTGTCTGTAATGCATTAAAAAAAGAGACTGCACTCAAGCTACCATCAAATAAAATAACTTGGATGCAGACATGCTTTGTTTCACAGAAGGAAAAGAAATCTATAAATCCATGTTCAAGGCACTACATTTCTTCAAATATCTTTATCATAAATACTGTCCTGTTTATGTATCTCAAACCACTGGTATTTGGATTCCAATGTAGTGTTTAACGTGTACATAACACAGAGAAAGGCTAAATCAATGTGAAAACTGCAGTAATAAAGAATAAAGTGAAATTCGTTTTTCGTGACCGCTGTCTTGTATGGCTGAGTTTTAGTCAAGACCAAAGCCAAAAAGCATTAGGTATTTAGACATACATACTTAACATGTACTGTATAGTATACACACATATGCACATACACACACATACACACAATTAACTACAGATATAGGTGTTGTACAAAGAATATCAACACTCGCATCATGTTATTTACAAGATCCGATTATGTACATGGGTGGCTCTGGTAAACCATACACACCAACACATTTAAGTAAGCAGATTAGGTAGTCCTAGTAGTTTTCGGACAGGGCCCACTCTCTGGGTCATGCATGACCATGGTAGGGTAGGCTTTGATCCCTGGGTTTGCCATTGTGGCATAGGGCATCATTCTTGCAGCACCAAGCAGGCCTACGGGACCCACGGACCCTACAGGACTAGGCATGCCAGGCCACTGCTGGGGGTAAAGAGGACCAGGAACCATCCCGCCATAGGAGCCTGCTGGCAAAAGATACCCAGGAGGGAGCATTGCTGAGGAGTTGGGAGCTAGGGTTGTGGGCATACCAGGGCCTAAAGCAGCAGTCAGGGGGCAGGAAAGAGGCAGCTGGAACTTGCTTGGACCAATATGGCATTTCATCTGAAACAGAAGGGAGTGGTTGTACAAAGTGGTGCATAGACCTCCTTATAAGTACATCAAATGTCACAGATCAAAGTACAACCCAAAATCTGATCCTAAATCATCTCCATTTCGAATACCTCGCGCGCAGCTGCTCCCATGGGTGGCGCTTTGCCCTCTAGGTCCTGCTTGCGTCTCTGCTGTTTGATCTGGTTCAGTGAGGGGCGTGGTTGATTGGCTGCCGCAACAGTCTCCTTGGTCCAGTCGTCTACCAGTTTGTGAAGATCATCAGTAAATGTGCCTCTCTTGTTGTTGCTGTTGTTGGTCTGGACCTGAGCGAGCCGTGTGATTGGCTGAGGAGATGGTGAGGGCGTGGCTGTGGTGAGTGACGGCTGTGTCTGACTGGCGGCTGTCTGAGCTGTGGTGGTGTTGAGAGAAGACCCTGAAAAGACACAAAACGTCTTAAAAATCTGTCCGGTTCCAAAAATTGGACGGTCAAATCAATTGGCTGCTGTATGGCGTAGTTTAAGGACACAATGACCCTATAATATCACCTTCATGAAAGCCGACTTTTAATATGTTAATAATAGTCCTTCTCAGTTTTGTTGAGGCCAGAGTAAATGTGAATCCAACTTATTTACTGTGACACGTATTTTGCCAACAGAGCAGCCAAAGGATTACAACATAAATGACTTTCATGAGTAATTAGAGATAAATGGAATGTTTGATATGCAAGCAATGACAAAACCCAGCTATCCAGACATCGACACTGCCATGCAGAACAACAACAAACGTAAATGAATGCACCCACATTTTCAACAATAACTGCCACATTTTTCAAAGAGACAAAACAAAGAGAAAATAAAGTGCACATACAAAAATAAGGAGGACTAAAATAGTGAGGACAGAGTAAGAAAGACAGAGAGTAAGAAGGTAAATGAGATAGTTACTACTACTGCGCTCTTTGCCTAGACATAGTCGTTTCAGAGTGGACCCTATAAAAAGGTAAAACAGCACAAGACAGAAACAGTTAGGCCAGGACACACTGCACACCACAAGTATGTGGACAAGCTGCTTCAAAAGCACATTCAGCTATCAAAACAATTGGGGAGAGAGAAAGAGGAAAAGGAGGACAAGGGGTTTGAAAATCAGTGAGGAGGACTGGAAGAAAGAGCCTAGGTGTTCTATTTAAAATGGGCAATCATTTGAAATGCTGACTATTACAAAGTGTACCTGACAAGCTTAGGAAAAAGAGAGCACTCCTAGCCTGTGTGGTTTTATGATGTTGCATGTAAATTAGTTCCTGCATTTCTATCAACCATGCCAGGATGAAAGCCATTATATCTTATGCTGCCTTGAAAATGTGATGGAAATGGTTTTCTTAATTACAACAACATTGTGTTGGACAGAAATCTGGTAAAATGAAGTCATTATCCTTTTAATCGCCTTTACAAATAATTTTGATTTAATTGTCAAGATTTGGTATGAATCAATGCTGCATTAGTGGGAAGGGAGAGACCATAACAAGATAATGAGTGTTTTCTAAGAAAGGAAGACTGGAGCCTGGATTAAAAAGAGATCCCTTTGTCGATGTGAGAATGCCTGTGAAACAAAACATGAAACCAAAATAAATAAAACTTCGAACTAAAAGAGCACACAGATACTAGCTGGAACTCATCAGAGTCAGCAGTTGTCAGAAACATGCAGGTAACTCAGGAGAGGTGGAAGGAGAAAAAAAAAAAAGTAGTAATATTGATGATACAGCCCTTCATATGGCGGAGCAAGTCTCCATCAGTGCCCTGCCTGGCGCCTGCACCATGCACGTCTTCTCCGTCCAAACATGAGGGACAGAGAGAGCTCTCCGCTACCTCAGCAAAGGGCCCTGCCTATCAGGGAAGGGCTGGGGGTGGGGGATGGTGGGTTTTTTCTCTGTGTTAGTATACAGAGGATTTCTGACTTGGGCAAAATGCCTTGACTTGGGAGATGTTATACAATCAAAATTAACAGTGGATGGAAACACACAACAATAAATAGGGTATAAAGGCTTTGGTAATCTCCCTCACATGTGAACACACACTTGAACAAACAGGCACACTGTCTTGTTTTAAATCTGACCTCAAGCCCATGTTTGGAGAGAACAAGCCCCAGTGTGCTTGTGGGGTCTGCTTTTTTTAAAGCCAGAAGCACTGCACAAAGCATTTGTATGAGGAGGAGGGGGCAGTATACCCACAAATGAATGGATGATTGCCAGAGGAAAGACTGCGTAAAGTCACTTGCAGCCCTGGTATTCGAGGCCACACACATGGATCTATGAGAGGCATCCACACCCTGGAAATGTCTCCTTTTCAATCTTCATGCAAAGAAACTGAATGGTGGCCGGGCTAAATTCATACAGCCATTGTTACTCTTTTTCTTCTACTTCATTCTTTCTGACCACCAGAGACGGGGCTTCCCATCTGGAGGACTAATAGCAAAAACTTTCTGAGCTACACTGTGAGGGTGTTGGTAAGATGGCCGCTGCTACAGGATTACACAAGGCCATATTAACACTGTATTCAGTGCACAAATGTACATCAAAGCACACGCTGTTGTAGCACAGTCATCTAATCATCTACCCACAAATGCAGACCAGCATTTGCACTTGATATCAAGAGGTACAGGAATTACTCTGAACCTGTATTCATGAAAAATATTTTCGACAATAGATTCAGAAAGCCTGTGCTTTGATAAAGGATAGCCTCTTGTCTTGGCATAACATACAAAAAACAAAATCACTGTTGCTGAAATTCATCTAAATCTAAATGTTTGCTCAAGGTGCATTAAGTCTGAAGTCATCCTGCAACTGTCGAGTGATGAAAAAAGATAGTAGATCAAAAAAAGGTTGATTGAAATTAAAGATATAGCTGTCAGCACCAATTTTCAAATTGCTTTTTAAAATGCAAGGCTCTCCGTTTAAATTGGTATTGAATTTGCAACTCTGTTAAACATGCGAAGACAGCTCTCTGCCAGTGTCTTTCTTAATACAACCACTGAGGGGCAGACCTTCAAGCCTCAAGAAGACAGATTTTATTATTGGAACTCATACTTGGTGTATGAGTATCAAACAAGACTGGAATCCAACAGTGCCATTATCTACCTTTCAGTGCCACAAACACTTCTGCATCAGTTACAATGTCTAATAGCAGTAACAGGGGAAGGGACTTACAGCAAAGTCACAGGCTAAAACAAAAGCTACACAGAAATATGGCCGGCTTCATTCACTGCCTGAAGATGAAAAGGAGACACATCCTGGCTGCAGAAGCCTTTGATACTCGTAGCACGTGCCTACGTTAGCTAGATTCAGTTGATATTAGTTTTGAATACCAACATGTGCATGTGAAGGATATCCTCTGGCGGTCAGGAAAAAAAAAAAAAAAAATCATACAGAACACAAACTTTGAGGTCATTGAGAGAGGGGACGAGTGGTAGGAATATAAAATAGGTGATGTATGTGAGGAGGCCTGTGAGGAGGTTGGAATAGGAGATAAATTACATATAAATAAAAAAAAGTAGTTGATAGAAGAGAGAGGCAGGTTAAATAAAGAGAAGATGGAAATGAGTGAGGGGAAATAGAAAAGAACAAATACAAACAGATGGACAGAGACACAGGTCCACTGAGGAATCTAGTGCGTGGTTTGCTACTAGATTTATAGGTGACTCTCTCTGACGTTTGGTGGTAAACCGTCCAGCCTGTAAAAATGAATATAAGAGGGAAGAAGAGAAGAAACAAGAGAAACACTTTGTAAAAGTGCACACAGACAGGGATGAGAAACCCCCACCATCAAAAGCACCAGCAATGGATACTAAGAAGGAGTGCAAGATATGCAGGATTCCACTATATTATCTGGTGATTAATGGGACATTTCAGCCAGTAATTACAACTGATAGAAAGCATTATTAAGGGGGAAAATACAACCAGGTAAGAGTATTGTGGTTCTGGGTGCTTGGATTTTGACTCTGACATCAACTGTTTGTCTATTAATTAATTAGTTAGTTATTGTTTATTTCATGGGGTCATATAAAACTGTGAATAGTGTTTATAGCTTGGATTGTAATTTGAAACACCCACCCCTAAGAGTGCTTTTGCCATGACATAAAACCAGAAAGATAACAAGAACTGACAAAATATGAATTGAAAGTGTTTATACAGTGAATTTGACTGAGGCTTGAATTTAACAAAAAACAGTTCAACTAGGAATCCCCATTCATCAGCTGCACAAAGCTGTTAAGTTCACATTATTTTAGAGTGAACTAAATTAAAACATTTCAAACTAAAAAACATGGCAAACTGCTACAGCTTAAAGCACATAACTAGTGCGTTACAAAAACATTAAAGAGGTACGAAGACGTTTTACAAGGAGGGATACTGTGGGTCACTGTGAGTTCCTTCCATGTCATTGCCACCTCCAAAATATTGTTAAACTACAAAAAGAGCCATGTTTTATTATGAGTTGTCAACAGGGGATATTTATTGTTAGAACTGAGACACAGCTCTCGGTTTTACAGTTGCCAAGTACAGTGGCAAACCTTTTAGCCTTAAAATGTTTCTATCCCTATTTTTGTGCATTTTTTTTAAGCTGCAGTAGTAGACTCATGTTTACATTTGAATAATTTGGTTATAAAAGCTACTATACTGCAACAATTTTCCATGTTTTCATTTATTTTATGTTTTATTTTTAGTAACTGTGTTCATGTCAACTTCTTGGTATGTAGGCTTGGACAGTATCAAGGTATTATGGTATGACGGGGTATTTAGAAATCCCAAAGGTATGATTTTCAATACTGTTAAAAACATTGACGCTCCTCTTTCTTGTGGATTAATCTTTTTGGCTCTTAGTTTGTTTATTTTCTATGTGCTGCGTTTGAATTTGAGTGGGTGTGTTTGTTAAAAAGATGTTCTGTGCTTTGTCTTTTAACATTTGTGTCGCTTCAAATTGCCCCTTTTCATAACCACAGTCTGCCTGTGGGAAGAATGAACATTTAAGAGTCTGTCCATTCTGAATGAAAAGCTCTCTTTTCACTGTCTAAGGTTATCTTTTTAGAGGACAGCACGTGAAATTACTTCTCTCTGACTCACTTATTTCTCCAACTGTTTCTCATCCCCCCTTGTGTCACACAAGCAGTGTGTCTCTCACTCACTGAGTTTAGTTGCAATGCACATCGTTGGCCAAGAAGCATCATGTGAGATGATTCTGGCCTGTTAAACCAGTCCCATAAAGCTGCGCAGGTTAAAATAGTAATTCTCTGATAATCTACAATGACTTCTATCACCAGCAGCTCAGCGTCTATGTTTTTGTTACACACAAATATACCTTCATATACCATAAACCTTGGTGAAATGTCAGGAAGGCATGAAAAAATAGATACTGCCCAAGCCTAATGGTAAACTGAATATTAACTCCCTCTTGTTTTTCTTTTTTATTTCTCCCAGCACTACATTAAGCATATATATGACGTGAATGTACTTATAATATGAATTAAGAATGTGAAATTGTTTTTAAAATAACAAAACTTTAAAAACACTTGAACTATTGAATATAGTGCTAACCTCAGCTTTCAGACCATTATTGATTAAAATGATCAGTGTGTCTGTATTATTCATGACACAAATGGTATATACCAGGATACAATGCACATAAGTTAGCAGTTGTTCAGTTAAAATGAGGTGTTCCTATGTGTGTCTGTAATCCTTCAGGGTGAGACTCTTCAAAAATTTGCTAAATGTTGTCCATGGAATGAATGGACAACATTAACACTTTTAAGCATTTACCTTAGCTCTAGTTGCTGTTCTGTAGATAGCATGTCCCATCCACACACACATCAGCATGCACATGAACCTATAATGTGTACCTTGGCCAGGGCCAGCTTGGTTGGCCATTCCATCACCGTGTAGCCCAGCGTAGATATTGTCTGAGGAGAAAGAGCCCTTCAAGGAACAGGGTTGCTGGGTGTGGACCTGCTCTGGGGCGTTGCTGGGCTGATTGCTGGAGCTGGAGCTGCCACTGGAGTGGGCAGAACCATCTGACAGAACTGAACTTTTAGCCGGGGAGCCGGATGAACTGGCAGCACTTTCACCTTGGTGCAAAAGAAAAAAAAAAAAAAAAAAAAAGTGTGAGTCAGAGTGAATCACGGTGAATCACACACTCCTACGGTTTTCTGATCCTGACTCCATTCCTATGTTTTCCACTTGTGCTCTTCAGACTGAAAAAGCTCTCCCTTACACACAAATCATCACATAAACCACTTATCACCACACCATCCCAACCCACACACCTTTTCTCTCTGTGGAGGTGTTTAGATTGTTTTTTAGCTGCTGCACCATCGGATTGAGCAGTTTTCCAGCCTTCAGCTTGTGTTTGCTGGCCCTACGCCTGCGGCCACTTGGGGGTGCGGCGTGAAGCAGACCAACATTGGGGGGCAGTGTTTTACCCAGCTCCTTGTACAGATGCTCAATCTCATTCCTCTGGAATGCCTGCAGCTCAGAGATCTCCTTCATGTGTCTGATGAGAAGATAGAGGGAGAGAACAAACAGACAATTCACTTAAAATATTTCTGGTAGGCTACTTGTCAATTTCACTGTGTTCCCTCAGTAATTTACTCTCCATGAAGTAGCCCACCAAAGACTCTCATTAGGGCTTGCAGTCATGATACCTGCGTCAAGGGTCATCCCCTCCTGATGCATGTGTCAGATTACTGAGTCATTCCTAAACTTCATAAAAATAAAAAAGAAGAAAATGTAATGTTTTTACTGTTGCCTAAATTAATGCCATAATTTGAGCATGGCCTGTCTGCCTGGTGATAATTGGCTATTTTAGCAAAGTTTTTTCCATGCGATTACAAACCATTACTTTTGGATTTCTGTGCTACTAGCAAACCCTGCTGACATAATGTGCAAGACATTCGCTCAGCTGTGGTTGAGTGCATATGTGTGTACGTTACTTTTCTCTCAGTTTCTGTAGTTCTTTCCTCATGTCTGCATCCTCAAACTCGGAGTCATTGTCACTGCTGATGTAGGATGAATGGGCATGTCCTGCAGAAGGCGAGGGAGCGTGACCATTCATTGCCACAGGCTGTCGGCTCGGTGAATCAGAACTCTGCTCACTTTTACTCCGACCAGAGCGCCGCAGGAAGGCCACTGCCCTTTTCATGAGATCGCTTCCACTGTGCTCAGACAGGGCATGCGCTGGGGGAGCAGGGTGGGCAGGAGGAAGGGCTACACTGCTGCTGTCCTCATCTGCTGAGTCAGAGTAGAGGTGAGAGGAGTGGTGGTAGTGGCGATGGGTCGGAGTGTCTATGGTCTGGGCCCGGGGGATATGGCTTGGGGTGAGATCAGGACTGGAAGTGGGGGTTGCCTGGTAGAAGTTTGGTGGGGCAGAGTAACGGTTGCTACTGTGGGGTTTAGATGTTCCTGCGCTCTCATTATCAGCTGCAGTTGTCTCAGAGGACCTTTCCACAGCCACAGAGCCCTTCTCTTTGCTCCCTTTGCCCTTGGTCTGGCTGTGAGACCCTCCAGAACCACTAGAGGGTGCTGGGGAACTGCAGGTGCTACCGCTTGTCTTGCTTTTCTCTAAACGACAAATAACATCTGGTGGAGTGGGGATGATCTGGAGGGAAGAGAAACCCATGTTCATAAGAAAATTAGTGTCTGTAAACATCAACTGGTGCCATGTTTAAGCAAACAAAATGGCATGACCTGCAATATAATTTAATTTGGTCAAATGACATTTATATTGAGTGGATTCTTACCTGAAAACGGCTTTTGGAGCTATATGAACTGGAGCTGGTGGTCACATCTCGTCTGTTCAAGACCCTGTTAGTGGCTAAAGAACCAGGAAGAAGGTTTTTCAAAACAAGTGACTCTCAAACTATAAATATAATATATAAAAAGCGGCCCAAACCAGAATTAAAAAGTTTGTGCTGTTCACATTGGAACCAGATCTGAGTCATATAGCTTTAAGCAATTTGCATGCAGTGTGAATGTAGCCTTAGTGATATGGACATTACATAAATAATGTTACCTACCTGCCACTGCAGAGTCACTTAGTGCACCCACACTATCTGTGCGTTCAGGAATCTGAGGCTAAAAGAGAACAAGAGAAGGGTGTGTGTGTGGGAGGTTACAATCATTTTGAATTGTGGCAAGTGGTAAATCGCTTGATGAGCAAGATGAGTGAGGTAAGGCTAGCCATTATCCTCTCATGACCTCCGTTTTGTCTAAATGAATCAGACCTTAATTTGTTTTTGGTAGCAAGCATGCACACCAAGAAACACACACACATACACAAAATGCAGCTGCCAAAGGAAGATATCATGATGAATTATTGTACTGACAGCATTATTGTACTGTAGCTGACATCCTGCCCTCTTTTTCTTTTTTTAACACAGTATTGGTCTTGCTCTTTACAGCCAATAGTGAAATCAATAACAGTGCAGGGAAATGATTCAATGATGCTGCCATTAACTTAACTCCTAACCAATATCCGAATGCTCAGATTTCTCTTTTACACACACAGAGACACAAGCACACACAAGCACACACACACACACACACACACACTTCTATCATTTTACCAGTGGTTCCGCTTTCTTCTTTGTAAGTGCTCCCTCAGTACTCTGGCCATCTGAGACTGGGGGTGAGCTGACTCCCTCTGTACTGGAGGCCTGGGGGTCGGATGCAGCGCTGGAAGGTTGGGAGGGAGCATGCTCCTGGTACAACAGGTTTCTCAGCTTCTCATCCAAAGTCTTGATGGTGCGGTCAACAAACTCTACCCTGCGTGGCCCTTCGCTGTCCGACTCTCCTGGCCCCCCACTCACTGGCTGCTGGTGGCTTGAGGACTGGGAGTTCTGGGGGGTCTGATGTGCTGGACTCTGGGGCTGGGAGGTGACTGTCCCAGGCTGCATGGGCGTGGCATAGGGTTGCTGCAGAACCACAGACTGATGGGAGGCCAGCTGAGGGGGTAGTTCTCCAGTAGGACTGGACTTCTGATTTGGCTGATTAGTTTGAGAGGTGGTCAAACCACCAGCTGCTCCTTTATCAATAGCATTCACATCCAGAGAGACAGGTGGCACAATAGCGCAGCATGGCATGTCTGTTACCATAGAGACAGCAGAGATGCAAGGCTCCACCACAGGAAGAGAGTTGGGATGGCTGGCACCAGCAGCACCAAGGGCATGTTTAGTAACACAGGGCTGAGGCTGCTGGATCCGGGCTTGGTCAATGTTTTGGTCTTGAGGTTGCACAGAGGTCTGAGCTGCAGGGGGCACAGAGGAGGAGGAGGAGGACGGACTTTGGGAGGATAAAGATGCGGCTGCGTGGCTGATGGGCCTGATTAATGATGAAGCAGACTTTTCAGATTCTGGAGAAATAAAAAAAAGGTTAATTAGGAGGAGAACAGATTTGGAGCCTGTTCTTAGTTCAGCCAAGGCCATGAAGACAAGGAGCTGGGTCCTGTGGGTGCAAGAGTGTTACATCACTGCTTGTCTTGCCCCATCAGGCTCTGTCAGCTGGAGTATAAATCCTGCCCTTCATTTGTGCCTAGAACCACTGCAGAAGCACTCTTATATAACTGACCCCAACTCTAATGCATGAGCAGCAGCTTCACTATCAAGAGCAGCAAGTAAGACACAAACAATTCACTTTATTCTATAGACAACATACTCCTGGCAGAGAAAGCAAATTTAATTTAGTAAGTAGTAAACCTGACTTGAAGGAAGCATTAATAACACTCTCTGAATGTGCAGCATACCCTGGGCTGTAGAGGTGTGAGATGTAGTCTTCTCTTTGTCTAACATAGGCGTCTCAGCCACAGGGCAGATGATAAACCAGCGCTTTCCAGTGTGGAGGACTGCCAAGGAAAGAGAGACAGAAAAACTCATAAATCCACATCTACTATAAAATCAATTCAATAGAAGTGCTAAAGACAGAGACTGACAACTTTAAAAGCAAAATAGAGAACGGGACAATATAAACAGATTATAATGTAATTCATCCTCATTTCAACCTCACCATAACAGGCCTCTTAAGAATGCAAATGTACAGGGAAGTAGCTGAGTTTAACTGGAACTGAGCTCTGTGAGTGGATTTTGTTAGAGTGAATATTTAAGTTCCAGGTGGCAAGTCTTACCATTTTGCTGGTACACCAGCTGTGGGGTGCTGGGTGCGGAAGCCTTCAATCCCTAAAGAAAACGAAGGATTACATACATATCACTTTAATAGATATTTAAAAAGCTTCTCCAACCAGCCAAAGAGCTGAACCTCAGAAATAAATTCAGTTAGATCAAAATGTTACATCAGCAAGAATGGTATTTTTGGCAGCTTTTCTTGGCGCTGTTGCATGCAAAGTCATCTTGAGAGTGCTGTCAGGATGATGTATCCACGGCAGAGGCATTCAGAGACAGATTGCGCCATTGCAACTATTAACTGTCAACAGTTTCTTTCTCACCTCTGCTCCCAGTGTGCCACCTCCTTCACTCTGTTTGGGACTGCTTCCCTGGTCAGAGTTCCTCTCACCCTCAGTGTCCTCACTCAGCATGTCCTCAGCCTTGTCCACAATGTCCTTCAGCTGCTCGATGAACACTTCTTTTTCTAAAGGAAGAATGAAATCATTCTCCACCTGAGGGACACAATGGAGAAAAGGGCAACATGACATTAAAGATTTATCTTTAGAAGTTGCTGCCAAGATAAAGCAATTCAAATTAAGGTCTACCAAAATCTACTTTTGCATAATTTGTTGAGTTTCTTAAGTATGAATGTGTGTATGTCTGTATGTATGTATGTATGTATGTATGTATGTATGTATGTATGTATGTATTTTAGTCAACTTCACACGTAGGTATTTGCCTTGGACCCCCTATTTTAAAACACAATAAGTTGGTGGAGCAGTTATGCCATAAATATTAATCTATCCATCTATAAATATAAGCCGAATATGAATTGGTTGGGAGTGGATGAGTGTGAGAGTAGGAGCAAGAGAGAGACATAGATTTTTTTGGTGCATTGCAGCTGAGAACAGTAACACAGGGAGTTTCAGAGTTCTGAGCCATAACAAAGCATTTCAGGCAATCCACAGTTTACAGCACGCTAAAAAAACCATCGTATCAACGGAAGTGGCAGTAACGCCTACATACCATGTATGTAGCAATCTCCTCTGGTGCATCTCCATCCAGGTCAAACTTGAAAGTGACCATTTTATGGTTATGAGTTTCTAACTGACACTCTACCATCTTATCGCCAGTGTTACACACCTGCAACCAGAGTGGACACAACAAATACATTGTCTAGTATTACATTCTTTATGAACATGGGCTTAAAGGAACAAGTTTCTTCTTTGAAATATATTTTGGCTACCCACATTGAGCATGTTGAGTTTTGGCCTGCTAATCTTCTCTTGCCGAGAACGAGTGCGCGTGGACCTCCGGTGGTGTTTGCGAACTTTCCCTTCGCCTTTACCTCCATGTGTCCCTTCGTAACCGTCACTCATCTCCTTCCCTGACGTGGCATCAGAGTTGACACTGATTTTGGAGAGGAAAAGCAAGTAATAGTTAGTGTAAGTATTATTTTATTCATGAATACCTGTATACCGAACACACAGCTCTACACTTGTATCTACACAAATATGCCCAAATATGTTCAAAACTGCCCAAAAAAAGATGGTGGACAGATAGGGGAGAAATAGTGTGGAATTTGAGACACAACAATATCTAGTGTCACACAATCTTTTAGGTGCAATAGACAGACATCTTGTACTGGAAATGGAAAGAGGCCAATGGTCTTTATCACCCGTCCTTGACATGGAGCCAAGTGAAAAGGTTTTGTAAAAATGTATCACTGCTCTCGAATGCCTCTAGGATTTGGTCTGATATAAACCTGATATAAACCTGATATACCAGCCATGGGTGACGCCAAACTCCACATAAGCTTAAATGGGATATAGATTTGTGGAGGATTAGCTATCTGCTATCTATTATGAAGGAACAACTGAACTTTTAGCTGCTGCTGCTGCTGGTCACAATGATAAGAAAGGTCAACAGATTCCATCAGAGTGCAATGTGGTTTTAAAGACATGTTTGTGTTTAGCTGGAGAGTTGTCCTTTGGTGAACAAACTGCCAGACAAAGTTAGCAGAGATGGCTGCCCACTAGGTCCACATTGCACAGCAAATGATACAGTATAACAAATAGGATGCTTTTTTACTTTCGGAGGAACAGCTAGCTGGAGTAGTTGGGAGTTGTTACATTATTTATGAGGATTGGTGGATCATCCTCAATGTTTTCTAAAAGGTAAACAACGTCTGCCTCAGGTCCTGCTACGCATTCTTTTAACATGGCACTCCCACAACCTCGGGCCAGTGATACAGAAGTATCTGCTGCTGTACCACCAGACTACGGAGAAGTTTCTTTCCTCAGGCTGTGAGACTCAACTCATCCTCCGCACTCCACCATAAATAAATGACATGAAACTGGACATACATTTCTTGGTGTATGTGTGTATAAGAATAGATGTATACAAGTAACTCTATATATTATTTGATTTGATTTGATTCTAATTTAAATAATTGTAGATATGTTTTGTGTGTGTGGAGCATAACTACAACTAACATTTCATTGTACAAGGGTCTACAATTAAATGTAGGTTGTGGTAAAATGACAGTACGTAAACCTTAAGTATTGGTGTGGCTACTGTTACAGTGAAAACAATAACTTTATAATGCTTGAGTCTGACCAAATGCATTATGTCAACATTCATGTCACTGCTTATCAGGCATTTTGCTCTACAGATTAATGTCAATTTGACAGCACCTGAGAGCTGGCCTAGACTATAATTCTAAGAAAATGCTGCAAATAAGCTAGTACCTGTCATAGCTCTGTCCTCCAGTGTGTTTTTCTGCAGCTTGATCCTACACACAGAAGAAAAACAAAAACATTTCACCAGAGAGAGTGAATAAAAGAGAGCAATATGTATCAATTATTTCATTTTAGATTACATTCCTGACAGTGACTTGAGAGGAAGTCGAGTGATACTGCATGTGAGTGCACTGGATATATTGGCAAAGAAAGGTGGACAGAGGAAGAAATAAGTAGTGAGAACTTAAAAGTGTGGAAGTGAGTCATTCCATACCTCCGTGCTGTTCTCTGTTGGACCCTGACCTGCAGCTCCAGTGAGAGTACAGAGCTGTTTCTGCTGAGTCAGACTGGAACTGGCAGACCCAGATGATGCTCGCTGAGAGTCAGAGGGCTGCAGCACAGGAATCTGGCTCTGAACCTGAGTCTGGCACTGGGCTTGTGGGGGCAGCTGGCATGGGTTCTTGCTATCCAGCTGGGCAGCAGCGGTAGCTGTGCCCGGGTCTGACCCACTGTGCACAGGTGAGGAGAAGACTGCAGGTTGGGCGAGCTGAGCTGAAGGGACAAGCTCAGGATGGCTGACTTGGGCCTGCTGGGGAAGCTGCTGTAAAAGACAAACAAGATAAAACATCATTATCATCATCATCTTCATTATTAATAATAATAAAAATAATAATAATAATAATCCGTTACATTTCGCTGTTTCTTGATAACAATTCATCCAAAAATAAAATACAGAATTTTTATCTATGTATAAAAAGAATGATTAACAAAGATTTGAGTTTTTCAATCCGCATTATTTACAGCATACAACATATAAATGTTCATTTTCCTTCAGCCAAAGAACAACAGCACAGTGAAAAGCACTTTTTTGTGATGCAAAGAGATTATCACAATCAAAGGTTCCAGTTCACACCCTCTTGGTAAACATCTGCACTCCATTGCAGCCATCATAATTACCTGTATCAGTGGCTGAGTGCTGCCATTTGTGGGAGGGTGTGTGTTCTGGGACTGGGCAGCGTGTGCGTGTATGGGATGGGTGGTTAGTGCTGTTATGAATGCAGGCTGTGAATGAGAAACTTCAGATCTAACACTCTGCTGCAGACCAGCGGTGGGCTGGTGCTGTGGGGATGTGGGTCCAACCTTTCCCAGCACAGGTGAGGGGGAAGGCATGAGGGACACTGGGATGGGTGAAACTAATGCATTTTCAATGTGCAGAGGAGAAAGGGGGGAGACAGAGGGGGTCACAGGAACATTGTGAGCAGGAGAAAGGAAAATATGGTTAAGAGAAGAGGAGGTTGAAGGGTGAGGGGCAGTGCAGGAGTGAGGGTAGGAGGATTCACAGTCAGTCACAGCTGTCATCACCTGGACTGTGGGATACTGTGAAGGAAACTGAAGGGAAAAGAAAAAAAGAAAAGGAACAGAGAAAAATGAAATAATCTAGAGAACAAAGTTCAAACATAGGAATAAGATGCATAAAGATAACTTGCTTCAAGTCTTTATTGTTAATGGTGTGTATAATCCACGAAAAAAAACAACATACAATAGCTCAGAGACCAGAGTGACAATACCTGGGATGGGTGTGTTGGCGGTAGAGAGTTTGCAATCTGCAGAGGCTGGAGTTGTTGGTGGACAGCCTGAGCCATCGACTGTTGAGGAGGTAGTGCCTGGGCTGCAACACTGGAAGTTGATTGGCTAAGATTCTGCCCATGTCCCTGTCCATCTTGTCCAAGCTGTGAAATGTTTTGACCAGTAGGAACATTCTACAGATGAAGAAGAAGAAAAAGAGGGGAAAAAAAGGGAGGAAGTTCAATAATGGCAAGGATTCCAGTTTCATCTCTCTGTTTGGAAATCTGCATTTCCTGCTATTGACCCAGATCAGAATAGCTCATATTTTCCATCCTGTCCCTAAGCCTGGAATCAGTCTGAATCTGCTGCACATACAGGAGCACAGACACAGAGCAAGCCTAGGGGTGCTGGCGGATGCAGCGGGTAAAACCACTGCTATTGTTTTCATTACTGTTCAATTATTTCTCTGTTGGCTGTTGTCCGAGGAAACGCCTGTTTATTGGGCTCTTCATTTTTTCATTCACGTACTATCCACCAACACAGCTGCTTCCAATACAGCTGCACCAAATCAAAACCAGACACCATAATATGAGTAGCTACAAAACTAGCATTAACTAGATTCGTTTCTGTCCCTCCCACATTGAGTCCCACAGTGACAAAGTGTGTTGAGACAAAGGCGTTCTACCTGATTCAGGAAAGCAGCGATGCAAAGATAGGGTTGAAACTGATGAAAAATAAAAACAGGGCGAGGTCAGAGGAGGGAAAACAAACAAAACTGGGGCACTATGTATGCCACCTTGCTACAACATACTAAATAGTTATCATCAACACTGTTCACTCACCTGTTGGGTGATATGTGCAGCTTGGATATGCTGAGAAGAGGCTGGAAGGCTCTGAGGAGTAACTACCTGGTTAGCTCCTCCATAGACCTGTGAAGCAGCTGTAGACTGTGCAGGCAGGTACTGGCTCTGAGCTGAAGCCGTTTGTTGCTGCAGCACACTGAGGGCAGAATGTGCATAGCTCTGAGAGGCAGCATCAGGTAGACCTGCAGCAGAGTAACTCTGGTGTGTGGCTGCAACCTGCACAACTGGGGCTGCTGTTGGATGAGGCTGACAAGGTGGGGTCTGAACCTGTTGAATAGTAGACTGGGACACATCCTGGCTCTGTTGTCGAACTGCTGGTTGCATGGTTTTCTGACTGTGCTTCTGCAGAGTTGGGGTGTGTACTTGTTGCTGACCAGTAGACTGAAGACTTTGAGAGTGGTGAGTAGGCTGTTGTGCCATTTGTTGGTGTATGCTATGCAGAGTTTCTTGACTAGGCTGGAGTTGAGGCTGAATATAAGCCTGCCCAGCATGTTGTGTTAGCTGTATACTGGACTGAGTATTTTGCAGTAAGGGCTGTTGGTGCTCTTGCTGAATAGGTATCTGTTGGCTATAAAGTGCTGGTGTGGAGGAGCTCTGACCAGGCTGCTGACTTTGCAGATTGACTGCAGCTTGGATCTGTTGCAGTGCACTGGGAGCTTGTGCAGGATGACACTGGGCTGTGGCTGCCATAGTCGGCGCTACAGATGCAAGGGGGAAACTTTGTGCTGGCTGCTGTGCTGGCAGGGTGGTTGCTGCTGCTGCTGTCAGTCTGTTGAACTGAAGTAGGATATCCTGATGCAGTGTGAGCCTGTTGTTGAGTTTGGGCTGCACAGTTCTGACAACTCTGTTGGACTTTCAAAGGAAAAGTCAAAGAGCTTGCTGCAGTTGCCTGCTGCTGTTGGTGGCCTGGAGCTTGGTAGCTCTGTGCAACATGTTGTGGCAAAGCTGATGCTGAAATACTTGCTGCACCTTGGGTCTGTTGCACATTTGGAGGTGTGTAGCTAGCACCACCGACCGTATGCTGAATGTGAGCTGAACACAGACTAGCTGGAGCTGGTGCTGCAGCACTGTGTTGATATGGAGGAGCAGGGAAGCTGTGTCCAGGCTGGAGGTACTGCAGTGGTGTGTGTACTGCTGTGCTGGAAGAGGGCAGGCCCTGGACAGATGGTTGATTCTGGTGACCTGCCGAACTGGCCTGAGGACACAAAGGAAGGAAATTCAAATTAGATCCTTTTGTGAGAGAAATCTACTGGTCAGGGATAAAATCCCACAAAAGCTAATATGTGTGACAATTACATTAACTCATACCGGATTCAAGTATAATGAGAGGATGAGAGATAAAAATAAGTTAATGAAACATCTGTTTCAACAATGAGCAGGCGGTGACAGGTGTGTGCTAAAAAAAGGACGCAAGGGAGAAATGGAAGGAGAGACTGAGAGGAGGGAGATCAGACAGCCACCCTTTCTCCTTCAGTCAGTGGCCATCTATCCAAGGCAAGCTAAGGAGCAAGACAGTTGTAGCATTCAGGCAGAATGCAGAAAAGAAAAAAGAAAGAGCAAAAATGTTAAAATCAAGGCCAGTTCTAGAAGGGATTGATTAAAGTTAATCAGCAGGGAAACGTGGTCTGTTAGAGATTGCACAGTTGTTCTCCGACAGGAGCAAGCTTATGATTTTTAAGAGGACGGTCAGCTCTGTAGGGCTACGCAGGAAGAAGGACTCAGACAGTAGCTGGGAGATCAGACCCGCTCCATGCAGACTAATGCTATATTTCCTACAGGCTGGGAGAAATCAGTTAAGCAGGTGGCCCCACATGGGAAACTAAAGCAACTTCTCTGCTATTGTGACCTACCACTCCCATAGCCCTGGTAACTTGCTGTTCTCCGGCACAGAATCTATCCTTGCAGTCCCAGAGGGGTTCTTGGCCCCCAATCAAACTGCCACTCGGGAGATGACTCTTCAGGCTGCTGTCTCCATCACTGCAGGCAGGCCTGTGGGCAGCTGAGGAGTGCAGCTGGGAGGCTTGGGTGGGTGTGGTGTGACAAGGGGCTGCTTTGCGGCTGATTATATTGATTAGGGACTGCTGAAGCAGTGAGAAATCGGAACAATCATTTGAACATTTCAGCCGTCCATAACCAGGGGTGTGCATTGAGGACTGGTGGTGTCTGAAGTCACATGGGCAGAGGTGCGTTGGCCTGACAACAGAAGGATGGTTGTGGCCCCCTTCTCGTGATCTTAGAAGAAGCAAAGAGAGGCAGGCCTGGCATGTATGGTTTCTATGCATTGCAAAATGGTGGTTATGATGAGAGGTTAGACTCAGAAGACTACTAAGGTCGGAGTGTCTGCGTCCACTTTGCACAGGCAGTGTTAAGTTCTCATTGGTGGCCTCTGATGACAGCCTGATGTTGGTGTCACTGAGGCGGCGGTACTCAGAAGGTGGAGAGATAGGGGAGACCTGCAGCAGTGGCAGAGTTTTCTGGGAGGGGGACCCATCCTTAGCCTCTGAGTGAAGCCCAGAGGGGCTGAGTTCTGACTGGTTCTCTGGTACTGTGGGGGTTGGACTGATTGATCTCTGAGACTGAATGAGGGCATGGAGATGGGCAATGTGGTTTGCCCTCTGAGTGTCAATAACAGGGGCACTTCCTCTCCGGGCTGCAGCTCCCAAACGAGTCCTGAGCTCTGGGCTTAGCGTTGCCCCCCATACTTCACCCTTTCCACAGGAGTGAGGTCGATCTGTCAGAAGAGGGCCAGTGCTCTGGCACTGATAGAGGAGCAACCCAAAAGCAAATCACATGTTACTCAAAATAAAGAGATCATAACCAAAACCAAGAACTATATGATGAGATGAGGACAAACAAGCTTGGAATAATACATGAATGTATGACAAATACTTGTGTATGTAATGCGCATGACTGTGTTAATGAAAGCTGATCTGCACATGTCCACAAATGTGGATTACAGCGCCTGTGTTCTGTTCCAAGGCCACGTGAGCAATGACTGCTTTCAAAGAGTGTGTGTATTTTGAATGCACATGGTCCACCTGGGTGTGTATGCTCCTGATACAGACCTGCTGTGTTGCCATAGTAATAGGCTCTAGCAGGGACTGGTAGAGGACACTCTGCTGGCTGCTGTGGGAGTCTGAGTACACAGTGGAGCCCATGCCACTGTCGAGTGTGCTGTCTGCTGCAGAGACACACAAATCATGCAGTCATAAAAAGTCAAAGATTAAGCTCATGTGTGTTTCTAAGTGGAGGAACAGAATCTCTTACATGTCACTGAAGTGGCACTGGCTGGTAGGTTACGCAGCCTGTTGTGCTGGTCTGCCTCTGGCTCTTCTGGTTCCAGCAAAGGCTGTCCTACATGTGCAGCCCCAGCAGAGATGCCCTGAGATGGTGTCATCTGGACCCGGTGGCCCCCTTCACCTTGATCCACTGCAGCTGCAGCAGACACTGTTCTCTCTCTTCTCCATTTGATCAGCGCCACGCGGTCCCTGATCGACTTTCCCACCGTCTTAGCATCACTCTCGTGGAAGAAGCCAGACTCCACCTGACAAAGGAAAGGGAAGAGCATGACTTCCAGGATATTTTTAGCATAGAGCATGTGAGAGAAGAGAGGGTGCATTAAAAAGGGGAGCATGTGAGGGAGAGAGAAAGAGCAAGAAAAAGAAGGAATAGAAAATCTATTTTAAGGGGGATCAGAGCAGTGGGAAACTATTCTCTTTGTCAGCAGCTTGGTTCATTGTTAACAACAGAACTGTCAGGATTCTTAAATCTGCAAATAAAAAAGATGCAGACAATGCATAGAACAAATGTTGTACATGAAGAAACAAAATACAATTTTAAAAGGGGGGACAAATAAAGTCATGTATAAACTGACTACAGAGCTCCTAAGGAAACCAGAAAGTACTCATTAGGGTAAAAGAGGAGTGACTTGAAGTGGGAGCATGCTGGCCATACAATCTCATTGTGATGTTGGTCCACATGTCTGCTCACATCCCCAAGGCGATTGTTACAGAGGCCTTCAATTTTTTTCTCAGCTTCACAGCCTGAGGCAATCAAGGCCAAAAGAGCATACGGAGAGAGAGAGAGAGCAGACAGGAAGAAGAGAAAGAGATGTGTGTGGGAGAGAGAGAGAGAGAGAGAGAGAGAGAGAGAGAGAGAGAGAGAGAGAAGAGAGAGAGAGCAAGAATGAAAAGGAAGACACTGGTTAAAACAAGAGAAACAAAAAGAGAAGGTGAGGACAGCAGGTTCTCGCTCACTGTCTCAGTTGGCTGAGTGTTAAACAAAGTATCTCTATCTAATAATCGGAAGAGAACGGACCTTACTAAAGCGATTTTTGTTCAGACAGACCATACTGTTAAAACCTCTGTCTTTCACTCTTTTTCACATGTACAAGCACATATGGTACAGTAGATGTCTTTGTGCAATATCAGATAACATATTACATATTTTTTTCAGTTCTGATGCAATAGATAGGCCTAGCGTAAATCTGTTTCAAAGCAAGTTTGTTTGAGGCCATTTTGAATAGTCCCACCGAATCTTGAAAATACTATCCTCCTTGTAAATGTCTCACTGAAGATAGGGTCTCTCTGGTATTACTGATACTGCGTTCTAGTTTTTTTCACGTGTTTAAGGCTGTTAAGCCAGACAATGATTATGTTTACATTCTCCAGCTGAAGTCAAGCTGTGTTAACTCCATTTCTCTTACTCCCATACCCCAAAAAATAATTTCATGGTGCTGTGTAATGTAGATGAGCGATAAAGGCTTGAGGTCAGTATTATCATGGCTTCCACACAGAGCAATCTTCAGTGAACACCATCAGATAAGGTAAGGCCCTGCAATAAAAAACTGGCAAAGACGGGAGAACGGGAGAAAACCATGTAAACAAAAGGAAAAAAATAAAACAGTAATGACTGATTCCTGGAAGAGCAGAACAAGTTATCACCAGCAATCTGCATTTGAGTGAATTCCCTGATGATGAGATAGGAGTGTTGCCTGCAGCTAGAACATACAAAGCCACAAAAACATGCAAAACATGACAAACCTCATCACTAGCATGGGTTGAAACTAATTTATTACTGAAATTGAAATTATGCAAAGGATTCTGAAAAGATCGAACCGTTTCTAGTTGTCAGCCAAATATTTTTAATGTAGACAGCACAATGTAAAACAAAGAAGTACATAAGACTTTAAAATCTTCAAATATTTTTATGAACAAGTTCTTCTGACTATACCCTCAATTATTTACTCACCATCTCTTGCGCCACAACCTCAGGGACCTCCTTTTCCAGGTCAAACGTGAACTCGATGGCCCCACTCTCCTTGTACTTCCCTTTTAACTTCTTGTGGTCTTCCACCCACAGTTTCAGGGCTATTGAGGCCTTTTTACCATCATCCTCCTCAGCTAGCTCCACCCGCACACCCGTGTCCTCAGCAAAGAAAGCATGGTTCAACAGGTCCTTGATTGTGTACCTGGGAGAAGGGACAGCAAAGCTTAAGACGCCCAATATCTGTATTGTACAGCGTTCGCAGATAACCTGAGCATCGATAATAGTTAGCTAGGGTACAACATATGGAATGACATGCAACAAAAGTCGCTGATTGGAATCAAACAGGCATTGTTGTCATGCGCTGTAACCATTTGGCTACCTAGGCAATCCAATGGTACAAAAATTCTGGTTTGTTGATAGTAAAAGGACATCTTGGCTAATTACATCATACATGGATTACATGTGCTGCAGAGACAAAGTCACTCACAGAACCCAATCATGCTTCAATAAAAAAAAAAATGCCCCTGGAAGCTAATTAAGGGTTATTTTCCCCTCTGTACATAAACTCATTATGTAACAGAAATGAAAGACATCCTGCAGATATGGTGGGAGACTGCAGTGCTGCTGAGAGCCCAACTGTCAACACCACAGCAATGAAGCGGGGGAGGTGAGACGAGGCATGAAAGATGAGAGGGCACCTTGTGGGCCCTGTTGGCTGGACACTGGACAATGATGGGGAGTCACTCACCGCTCCTCTTTCTTTTGGCAGATACACTCCCCAATAATCTCCTTGATTTCGGGATCCATGACCTTGTTGTAGCTGGCCGGCTTCACTCCCTGAGGAAAGGGAAATACAAACAAAATGCTGAGTACACACCATGAAAGGACACTGTGTTGATGAAAATAATCAAAAAGGAAAAACAAAGGAGAAAAAAAGAGTTGGGGGATGTTTTTGTGATACTCCACCCCCAAATTATCTTATCTTTTAAGTATAACACAATCACACCATAGGCTTGTCAACCTTGACAGAGTACAGCAGTTGCAGTCAGCTAAAATCCATGTGGGTTGCAATGGATTCTAAAAAGCATCCATAGAAATCTCTCAAACCACTGCCCTGGCTCCTGATGTTTTGCTTGTAAACTAGGGCTGCACAATTAATTGAAATATCTTCAAAATCAAAACATGGCCAAATGGCAGCAGCTGAAAATGTATGATAAAGGTAAAATCTTGTTCTCCAGATGTGAGAAACATGATTGCTTGGTACAGACCACAACAAATACCATCATGATTATAATAGTTTTTCTTCAGTGAAAATTGTGATGAAATAATGATAGTTCCTACTTATCGTGTATCATATAGCAATTTATTTTTCCTTTCATATTGTGGAGCCTACAAACTACAATTACGAAACAGTTGGCCTGGATTCCTATGGTAGTTTTGACTGGGAATTTACAGTGACAGCAGGAGTGGTTTGAGAAAATTCTATAGACCTTTTCATACTTTATTCAACAGTAAGAAATCTTTGGTAATACTATATAAATGCATTTTCTTAGCTCAGCAGTTTGACCTTCTTTACTAATCTCTTTTTGGTGCTCCATGGTGCAGCATTATCTGTGGTGTTGACATAAATTGTGAGATCATTATTTCTTGAAAATAGACATTTTCCTCACCCAAGATATAAAGTATATGCATCCTTTGAATTAACATCCCTACCAATTATGCAGCTATATGCTGTATGTGCTCAGGGAGTAGTATAAAACTATCATGGTTCCTCTTTGATCAATCTCCTATTAATATCCTGCAGTAGTCCCTGCAGGACACTCTAATATGCATACAGTAACAATGCAGAGAACAGTATCTAGAGACCGTTGCAATGATGCTGTCCAGCCATTAATATGGACATAAAGGCCTTCTGTTCTTTAACAGCAGGTGAAAGAGTCATCTCTCAGATTCCAACCCTGCCAAGTCTCAAGAGTGGAAAATCAATACTCTTCATCAAATCAGGAAGTCTATCATGACTTTAGACACCCCCTAATCTAAAAACGGTTTGCTGTGCTTTTCTAGCAGAGACACATTCATTGAAACGGAATGGAATACAGCCTTTAGGCTTTATCTAAAAAACAAAGGAGATTTGGGCTCCCTCTGTGACTCCATATGGCTCATTAGATTCTTCACCCAAGAAATTCAAAGCTGAAGATCCATCTAGCTGAAACAGCAGAGCAGATCTGGTACCCTGCTCTGTTGAAAAAAAATATTTCTGCAATGAAAAACTCCTTGGATTTATTATGTGGGGGAGAAGCCACAAACATGCCTGACATTAGTATGCCCCATCTTACAGGATCACTAAACATGACCTTGAATTATTACAAAATGCATGCTTATAAGCAAGGTCTCTTTTAGACGACTGGGGCACCAACAAGCTTTTTTGTTTTGTTCTGTTTTAATTTTAGACACAAAATCTGTTTTGTCTGTACAGTAATAGCACAATTAATTATTAGTATATTGCCCCAGCTGTTCCTACAAGGTTATTATAGTTCACTTATCTTTATCTGTTACCATTTCAGAGTACTGAGCTTATCTTTGGGAAATCTGCAGCAAGACAAATATTTTCCTTAAAATGTCTCATTTTAAAACAAACTGGAAACAGAATCTGGACTCACACTAGTGACTTTGCGGTATATCTGAGCAGCATTCTGACACTCAGAGTAGGGGTATTCTGAGGTGGCCATCTCTAGCATACACATGCCGAAGGCGTAGACATCCACAGCCTCATCGTAGTGTTCTTCATACATCTCTGGAGCCATGAACTCTGGGGTACCTGAACAGAGAGGAATGTCCAGTGGATATGTAATTTACTTCTTTAGCTTAAGAACCATTAATCCGCCACATTACATTTCAGTCTCCTACCTATGACGCTCTTAGCAAAGGAAGCCGCCTTGAGTGTCGCCAGTCCTAAATCTCCTATCTTGACCGAGCCTGTAGGTCCAGTGATAAAGATGTTATCACATTTGAGGTCTCTATGGATGATGGGAGGGGTTCTGGTGTGGAGAAAGTGAAGGCCTTTCAGGATCTGTCTGCACCAGCTCCTCAGCACCTTGGGCTTCATTACCTTGAAACGCTTTAGATAGCTGTAGGAAAGAGAGGAAAACATATTATCTGACAATTATATGTTTCAAAATTGATTTTCTGTAAAAACACAAGGTAAGGTCACAGTAACCAGTGTAAAAAAATCTGTCAGAATTTCAAAACAGTTTATCTTTGGATATATTGATGCCAGATTGACAAGGAGAAAGTTGACATATGATGTCAGCTTGTGTTTCTAGAGTTACATGTGTTTATAGACACGTTAGGAATGGTTAATCTGTAGTATCTGTTAAAGGGAGTTTGGAGCAGGGTGCTTTTAATTTAATTATAAATAATTATATGCATAATCTTTTACCACTCTAGAATCTCTAGGTAATTGCTAAAGTATTATATGGTTGTTTGACATTCACTGATGTTAGTTATTAGTTTGATTAATGGTTTATTAACCTGTTCATTGATTACTGACGCTGGCTGATCAGGCCAATTATTAGCTAATTGTACTCTGTTTCTAATGGCAGTATGCTGTTAACAGTTGCCCTTCCTAATTAAACATGATGTACTTTTTATTTATGATGTTATTAATGACTCCTGGTGAAACATAGTTTGGAGACAGACTCTGATTACTCCTAGTGAAAAATCTTGTTGTGTGTGACCCCTCTCACTGATGTTTTTTTCCCCCACTTATGTGTCAGAGAAGTTGTCTGTACAATTATCTGCCTTCATAAGTACTCACGTTTTTAGTGTTCCTGACGTCATGAGCTCTGTTACTAAAACAATGCACTTCTTCCCTTTAACGGGTGACTCCCAAAAGTCATAGAAACGAACAATGTTGGGATGTTGAAGACCCTTCAACATCTCTGCTTCCTCCTTAAAGCGCTGACGTTCCACTTTTGACAGCTTACGATCCTAGAAGAAAGACGACAGAAAAAAATACTTAATGTGAAGCCCTAATGATGAGGTACTATCATATTTGCTTCACAGGAACTACCAGATGGAAGAGGCTGTCATCTTGGAGGCACTTCCCTGCATATTTTCAATTGATGCATCCAATATGTTTTAGCAATAGCAATCCGGAAAGACAGAGTGAGAGAGGGAGGTTAGTGTCAGTCTTTAAGCCATATATGCATCTCTAATTGGACCATATGTATATCAAAGCTAATGATGACAGTCATTTTGTGTGTGCGTGTGTGGGGGGAATCCAGATCAAGTGGCTTTCTCAAACAGAAACAAGATTCAGCCTAAATATCATTCATGTGTATGATATTTATAGTATCTTTAAAGCATAACACCAGATGTAACCTTCCACTCATCAGTTTTAATTTATCCAGAAACAAAGAGGCTGTGTAATGAGACATTAAAAGGGTGACAACCACTGTGACACTGGGGGGAGAACGAACCCACACATTAACATGGTCACACCCTTTACACACTGCAGCTAAAGGTTATGTGTCATCGATCTCTTCCGTCTCCTTCACTTGCTTGCTCACTCTCTCATCCTCTACCTTATGCTCCTTTCCCCCCCTCCCCCATATCTGCAATCCGTCTCCCTCTCTGCACCCCGGACATCAACCACTCCCTTCTCCCAACATCCCCTGCACACACAGAAACATCTTCGGTAACCGCTCCCTCTCAATGCCTTCCCTCTCCAATTCTCTATAAGGCTGCCCCAACTCTGAGAACACCTTGCTCTAGGTACCGCCAGGGGTTTCTTTACTGCGATTTCCCTTTTTTTTTTTTTTTTTTTTAAAACCACCACAGCAACGACTTACGTAACAAGCACACACGTGCACTCAGCACTAAGCATGGACTGGAAGCACGACCCCACCCCTCACAGAGACGGACGACACGGACGGTGGAATGCAACGAACACAACCTAGCGAGATCTAATCAATTTAATTATTCAACCTCAGTGAACTGCCAGTGAGATGTAACAACACAAAATAAGACTAAATACCCTAAAAATTAACAATGAAGCAAGATGTGCTGTGATGCAATGTGCTGAAGAGTGAAGTGATATCATGATAAAGCATTGTGTGTGTGTGAATGTGGCATATCGGGTTTTGTGTGCAAGTGTGTGGGGGGTGGGGATTTTCACTGCACTCTTCTAAAGTCCCATGAATAATTCAGTTCTGCAGAGAACCCTTTCTACTGAGGCAAGCTGAGCAATGGAAGGCTTGGGCCAAGTTGGGCTGGGTTCTTCCCAAGTGCTCTTTGCTGCACAAGAACAGCACATGGACTGGAGTTTACCTGAAACACAGGTCTAAAAGGAGAGAGAGTGAGGAATGAGACAGCTTGAAGTATATTTCCACCCTCAAGCCATCTTCTCCCCCACATGACTTTTTGCCCCATCCTCTCATCATTTCTACGCTCATCTTTCAGGAATCCTGCTTCTATTCATAAATACCCCCTTACCCCCACCACATAGTGTTCCCCAAGTCCCAATCACACTCCCCACACACACACCTCCATTTGCTCTCCCACTTCTGTTTTCTCTCTCTCAGCAGACACTGGGGCTTCTGCATAATTCAGAAGCCACAAGTAGGCTCAGAGGTGTTGTGCACAGCATGGCGAGATACACAGACAGATACATATGCACATTGAGACACTGGAAGAATGTCACTCCCAGTCCCAAGGCACACACACATACATATTCACTCACACACACACACACACACACACACACACACACACCAGACAACAGATATCACAGACGCATCAATATATGAGGCTCATTAACTGCTTCATCGTTACTGTGAGGGATGTGAGCTTTTAACAAATACAACTCATTATTACATTACATTTGAAATTCGAGTGGTGCTGCACACAGATCATCTAGTGTTTGTGTGCATGAATGTTTTCAGGATCTTATCAAGTGTGTACTGTACACTTGGCTTAAAGAAAAGGCTCAGCTGGCCACAGCAGAGTGAGGAGCCGCCCAGGCGAGGTTAAACACACACAAAGAAAAACCATACCGGGCAGCAGGGACAGGAAAAATAGATTGTGACATTAGCAGGAAGCAATCTATAAAGACGCGCTCCACTACGCTGCCACCCACTACATCTGTGTGCTGAGCTCTATTAGTTCCACAGCTCTGGTAGCTCATACAGCAAAACAGACATTTCAGACTGAGATACAAAAAAAAAGGAGGCCCCTGAGGAAGAAGACCAGGTAATAGATTAAAATATTAGTCCTGGGAACGTTGCAGGCAAAAACACCATGTAATTGCAAAACTATGTGTTCAAGTCAAGTTCCTGGCCTAATGTCACATGTTATCTTTAATACATACTGTCCATTTAAGAAGAAAGCGCCCTTATTGTGGAGAGATGGCTATCAGCTCTGCTACTTTACCTGAGGATCTCAGGGTAGATAAAAAGCTATAAGACTTACAGTTCCCAGTAAGGGGAGCTAACTGGTTTTATATAAAAGGCTTGAGTTGTTTCTCTATCAGATAATGAAATAATCAGCAATGCATAATATAACGGGTGGTGTGTGGCACATACACTGCCTTAGTTTGGAACTGGCATTACACTGAGGCCACCTATGCTACAGAATGTACGGTATGCACTGGTAGATGGTATCACTCCAGGTACATTACAGTGCCAGCAAAGTGGATATTATGTTAGTAGTCCTAGCCAAGCCTACTTTTATATACCAACATTTATCTGGACACAATACATCTTGAGTTTCTAAGCACAACATACAGGAAAGAAAATTCCATTTAATTGGTGAATCATTGATACATAAGTAGCTTGGAGATTATTGAAGAATGTGATGTGAAAAAAAAGCCTGGAAGCTTGTCTGTGTAATGCAGTTAGCACTGCTAATCAAGCTTGATTAGTGGCCTATCAAACCCATGCAGAGAACAGAGAAAACACACCATGCAACATAAATCTGCCAAACTATCAGGAATATCCAGCTCACCAATAAACACAAGAACTAAACAGCAGAGAGCTCTACAAGCATGCCAAAGGATTTACCATTACATTGGAATTTCTACCATGAACAGAAGCGTAAAAAAACAAAAACAACTTGCTATACTCAAACAACATTACAAACATAAGGTGTGCACAAACTCACAGTACAGGCTCAATAGTGTGTAGCTAGATGAATCAAAACATTGTTTCACTAACAGAATGACGCAGCCAATTTTTCCTCAGGGGGCCCACTTTTTGCTTGATAAAAACAAAAGGATTATGGAAAGGATGAGGGTCTACTATTGATTAACTACTGATAGACTCAAATTGCCCCCCGTAGGGTGGAGCTGTAGAGCAGTTGGGCTATAGAGTGTTGAGGCAGGCTCTCTCTCTCTGGAGCATCAATATAAGAGACAACTGACAGGCTCACACGAGCACACACAAGTGAATGATGGAGTTCTCAGGCAGGGAAAACTTTATGAACACAAATTCTGAAGCCCAAAACTTTCTCACACTCACACACAGACACACACACACACACACACACACACACACACACACACACAGAGTTTCACGTACAAATTGCTTTAAAGATGCAAAAAAGGTGAGTCATGACATTTATCAAGATGGATTCTTCCCATCTCATAACTTAAACCGCATACCCCAAATTAAAGGTGTGAATAATCTTATACAAGCCTTCAGCCTAGAAGGATACGAGCAGATTTCAGTAGGCTTTAAGCAGGTTAACAGACTTTTTAAGTTCTTATTTTTTTGGTCTTTATGCCTTTATTTGAAAGATACAGCTGAAGACAGACAGGAAAGCTGGGTAGAGAGAGAGGGGATGACACACAGCAAAGGGCTGCAGGTCGGATTCGAACCTGGGCCGCTGTAGTATATGGGTCACCAGCTCTACCGACTGAGCTTACCAGGCACCCAGGTTAACAGACTTTAAATTAAATTATTGCCTTACCGTAAAATGTCAGTTTGGTACAAGATGTTCTGTTCGGTATGTGACTTCTTCGGTTTGGTATGCCCTGTGACCCAAACAAATACTGTCAAAACAGTCCAGTTATGTCTACTACTCCCACACAAGGGGGCAGAAATACTATGTGCTAGTTTTACCAACAAAGATTTGGCAATGCACCAGTTAATGTCTATCATCTGTAGCATGCTTGTCAGCTTAGCCCAGTTAGCCAGGTTATCCCAGCTCATGTAGTTTCGCTGCCATCCATATGGCACACAAGTGAGAGACCAGAGCTGGAGAATTCTCCCATGACATTCAGATCAACTGTATGGGAGCATTATGGTTTCCCGATTAGTCTCGCAAAAGTGGAAAGCGATACCAAACTGTATGCTGACATGTCAGTGGAAAAACTTAAAAACATGTGATTTATTATATTTATTTACAGCATCACCCAAATGTGTCAATTAGCAAAACCAAACAAACACACAAACACAAACAGTCTTTCTCTCCACACAGCGTTCAAGCTGCCTCTTGCTACAAATTTTGATTTGTTTTCCCTACTGTACTGAAAAAATACCAAAAATGTACCGAACTGTGACCCCAAAACCGAAGTACATACCAAACTGTGAATTTTGTTACACCCTATTATAAATGATAAAAAACAATCTGCCTTACTTGGCCTTCACACAAACACTGTACAGGACTGTATCATTATTTTAAATGCCAGAAGACCTTTCTGGCCTCTATGAAATGAGGTCTTTTACTTTTGTCCTAGTGCTCATACACACACACTATGCAAATAGAAAAGGCCAATAGCACAGCACAGAACCATAGCTGACCAAAGTCACCAATTAGACACCATGCAATCCATCTCATCTAGCACTCCTTATTCTCACAATACCCCTGATGACATCGACAGTTCACAAGTTCAGTGAAGCTGGGAGTGGAGTAAACCTATTAGGAGATCAACAGGTTTCAGCATTAGTCCTAATTATGGCAGCCAAATTACGCTTAAGAAAAAAAAAAGG